CCAACATGGTGGCTCGGCTGGAGCGCAACAATAACTCGTACTGAACATGTGACCGACACAACTGTACCCGGTCGCAGGTCAGCTGGACTACCTGCTGCTCAAACACCTACCTGCTCGCTAGGATACTTTAAAGAAGACACTGGAGTTTTCCAGTTCCACTGACTGTTGCTTTGAGTCTTAAATTCCTGAAAACTGGTCCTATTTTTATGCACTCCTATCAGCATGTTTACATTTTCCTTTTTTGTACTTTCTAATTTAGAGACGCACGATATTCAGCTGTAAAGAGAATCATATTTTAACTTCTAATTTAAGAGCTTTTAACTTAATAAATAAAAATATTTATTATTTCAGTTCTTTTTGCATACCCTGATATCCATCAACTACCAACAGAAAAAACTGAAATATTCCTATTTAATCATTTAACCATTTTCCAACCTGTCTGAGGGATCATGAGTTTAATACTTCTTTTAAAATGGGGGTTTAAAATGTACTTTAATATTTATACTGAATGTATGTAAGTCGTGTGTTTTTTTTTAAGCCTGATAATATTGAGTGTTTTGAAGGACCGACTTGAAGAAAGGGATGATATCCTGCATGAGATTACTGAAAGAAGGCAGATTGAAGTTTAAAATCTCCTTCGTTGTCCGATCACTGTGTCAGCAGACTCCGGCTGTCTCTGCTTTATGAGGTACTTTACTAACAACTGTGCCAACTGGAGATCTACTTTTACAATAAAAATGAGTCAACATGAAAACAATGGCGGTGTCAAAGTCTGCTTTATCGGAAACTAAATGGGTCAGAGCTTTCTTTGTAGTTGGGTTGGTGGTGGTGGTGGGGGGGGGGGGGTGTAGAGGGGGAGGAAGGTGTGTTGTCTTGAGTCACAGTCCCCAAATAGATCTAATCAGACTTCACGTTCTGGTTTTTAGCAGAAAAAAAGTTTTCATTTTCATGTGCAAACTTTCCCTTGATGGCTCTCAGAAATTGTGTGTCTGTTAAAAGGACCAATATGTAAACTGAAGGCTTCTCTGAAAACACTCATCAGCCAGTATGTCCTCCTTCTAAGCTTAGAAATGGTCTGTTTTTGTTTTGACCAGAGAAGATAAGTAGTTTTAAGGCACTCCCACAAGGTCGCTTTGGATGCTCCTTGGTTTTTCCAGGAAAACAACAAACCAACAGGTGTTGCAGCGATGGAAGTGGGCAAGTGAACTGGTTCAGATAGAAGTGATTCTACCCAGGGGGGGGATCTAAAAGACATTTTTCTAATAAGCTCCACGAGAGTCAGCTCTCTCCAATGAGCTTCAAAGTCACATATCAATATCCACATCCAAAATAGCAAATATTATATTTTACTGCACATCATTCTTGCTGATAATATATACGCAGCAGATCTTGTCTTACTGAGAAATTAAAATCTAAACTCAATACTTTTTCATTCACTCGACAAACTCGAGTCAAATCAGCGGACATCACTGAGTTGCACAATCAGAAGAACAGCAAAATGGACCAGATTTCGCCCCTGACAGAGTCTGACTACAGATCTGTCCTTTAAAACACAAACTGCAGCTTCAGTGAAGCTTTCCCGGAGTTCAAAAGCAAACAACTCAGTCTTACTAGTTCCCACATCTGTCCTGTGTGTGAGAGTGACATTGACATTTATAACGTTTGTTTGTCCTTCCTCTTATCAGACGAGTCTCTGCCTCCCTTACTCTTCACCGTCCACTCACACTAAACACGGACCCTACACTCTGCCTGTTCCCACCTTCCTCCCCAAAATATATGCACAACCACTAGTCCACATCCTCCTCCCTCCAATAAGAAACCAGAAAAAAAAAACATTTCCATGACGTTGAGCCCCCCTTTTTAATGGCCTTACAAGGTCATGAGAATTTTTCAAGCAGTCTGTTTTAGTGCAGTGAAAGAGCAGGTATCCACATGAACCGGTCTGATGCAGGGAGGGGAGGCTCAGTCTATAAGCACACACTGACAGGCTGCAAATGACTTCTCATACTAGTTCTACAAGTTAGACTTATGACTCCTTACAGAGATCTGTATGTTAAAGGTGACTGTCTTTTCGAGAAAATGCAAATTATGTTTAAACACAATCCGACCTGTTTGACGACTTCACAATCTAGCTGTACACCGTCTGATGAGTGTACAGGTACACTTATCAAACACAACTTATAGAAAGTATCTCATTGAAGTCCTTACTTTTTCAAACTGAGATCAATTTCATGTATTTGAGTGGGGATGAAGTTGTAGAAACGGTAATCACACTTAGCGATTCTCAGAACAATATTTGTTATTTTAATGATCGAAAGTGTAAAAAAAAAGGCCGTTCAAATAAAAAAATGCAAATCTTCAGTAATAATTTGAACCCGAAGCTGCCGTGAGCTGAGGAGAGAGGGAGCAGCTGTGGTCCATTCAAACTCACAAGTCGGCAAATATTGACGTTTCTCGTGTCCTTACTGCGTCTCGTAAACATGCAGAAGTTACGTTTATGTCTCTAATGAAGCGACAGAGAGCAGAGGGCGGAACACTGTCACAAAAACATGCACCAATGTATTCCTGCAATTTAGACAGTGTGCAGGAGTTCACCTGCAATTTAAAATCTTACAAATCAGGTGCCTTCTTTTTGTTGCCACAGACATGACACAGGTATCGATACTGTTTGATTTCTACAAGAACAAAACAAATCTTTAAAAAAAGAACAAAAAAACATGCTTTGGCCCAAGGGGTGCCTGTAGCCAAGCGGTTATAGTGTGCACAGGCCGTGTACAGAGGCTTAAAGCCCTCTGGAGCAGGTGTCCCGGGTTCGAATCCGACCTCTGACCTCTTTCCTGCAAGTCAATCCCCTCTCTCTCTCTCTCTCCTGATTTCTGACTCTATCCACTGTCCTATCTCTAAAAAAAAGACAGATAAAGCCCAAAAACAAATCTTTAAAAAAAAAGATGCTTGGCCTGAGCGAACACCTGGCAAGAATCCTTCAAGTCCATGAGTGGAAATCATCACCTTCAACATGTTAACTTCTTCCATAACTGTGCATGTTTGTAGAGGAGCTCTTCAAACAGAGACAGTCAATATTTGTCTGTCAAACATTACAGCTGCTTTATTATCAAAACTAACAACCTGTGATGACAACTTCTATTAAAGGGAAGTAACTCTGTCGTAACTGTTCCTAATCCGTGTGCATACTGTACTACCTGTTAACCCTTTCAACAGCTGATCTAAAGCCATGTTGACCACATAACCAAACCTCATAAGCAAAGGCCAGAATGCAAATAAAAAAGGACTTATCAACATGGTCCACTAAAAGATAAATGACACCTTCAATAAAAGGTTCCCTTGCTCACAAAACGGACACTTTAAGGGCTCCTTACACCGGTTTCTACCTCAGTATAGCTTAGGATCAAATTCTTGCAATGTTTTTTAAAATGTGGAGGAATGAGGAAGGCCTAAACAAACAACTTGGAGAAAAAGAAAATGTGATAAAAAAAAACATCATATTCTGAGCATAAGGCGTCAGGTAGAATATTTAAATGAATCAGGAATGACGTGTTTGAAAGCAGAAGCCGTCCATAAACACAAATGTGCGACTTTTCTTTGGCAATAATTGCAAGGAAAGAAATCACTCCCTAAACAAAAGTATCAGGTAGCTTCTGGTACTTTTTTGGAATTTGGAGTTCCTGTTCATACAACACATTTTAGGAGATCTGCAGAGAGATGATTTAAGGAGGAGCAACATTTTCTAGAGCATAGCAACATCAGGGAAACAGTGATTAAAGGAGACTAGATTAAAGACAGAGATTGGAGTTTGTTTACGTCCGGGAGATGTTCCCTTGAATTAACTACTGGTACTTCATCTTTTTATGAATGTGAATTTTCCATCTCTCTACTTTACTGCACAATCTTCAGAGTGAAAAGATACATATACTGTACTTGTCTTTGTTTTCTACTTGCATATATGCACCTGTTATAGAGTGGAGAGGTGGAGGAGCCAAAGGGAAGTTTACCAACCTTAAAGTGATAGTGACAACAACAAACAAGAGAAAGTTTAACTAACGCTGCCCTCTGCTGCTCGTTCACTAGAGAGACAAAACCTCAGACTGGGTTGAGGCTATTATTCTAGTAGATTAAAAAAAAAAGCTGTTAGTCATGAACAATTGTGTTGATAGATATTAAATGAAATCAGCACAAAGTCAAACAATTCACATGATGCAGCTCCCAACATCACCTGCTTTCTGTCAATTATTCTCAACTGTAAACTTTACGTCCATCACATGCAACCTAACAAGTCATGTTGGCGCTGGAAAAAAGCAGTGTGCAGTTTTTTTAGCCATTGTATAGACTAAAAAGAAAATAAAGTCGTTATTTAGAAAACAATGATTTGCAGCTCTAATTATGAGTATCAAACTGTTATAATGAATACTGTGTTTAATGACATATTCTTTAAGAAATTGATTGTTATAAGAGACATCCTCTAACACTTTAAAGGTCACATATTATCCTCCTTTATAATAAGTTTAAATAAGTCTCAGAGCTCCCCGAAACATATCTGTGAAGTTTCTTGTTCTAAATCCACTCTGATCCTGTATTTGATCATATCTATAAACCCCTCTATTTCAGCCCTGCTCAGAACAGGCTGTTTCTGTGTCTGTAGCTTTAAATGCAAATGAGCTGTGTTGACCACGCCCCCTCTCTGGAAGTAGATGTAGCTTGGGCTTTCTTGCACCATGCCGTATTGTTTAGGGTGAGAAAGATGACTCAGAGGGCAGAACAAACACCTAGCTGTGGGAGTGTCACCCACCTGGAGGAGGGGTTACAGCCCTTTGTGATGTCATGAAGGGAAAATCTCCAAACTCATAATTGGGGGGTTTGTAGACAGACTGGGGAAACATATTAGTATTATTAAAACCTTGGTGAGTGTATTTTGCATGATACAGTATACGACCTTTAAATCGTGTAACTGTCAGAGTAGATGAACAAACAATAAAAAAATATCATCAAATTTAAACAAACATTTATTATAAATCATACCTAAGGGTGAAGGACTTTTGGGAAAACATTTAATGGAAAAAATTCATCTTGGAACAAAAGGCAGGCAGGTTGTTTATTTTTTCTTTTCTTCTTCTTCATGTTAACACCAAATGTAGTCCTGAGAGGTGCTTCGCTGGCTAGGAATGACAAGTGAAGAATCCATAAGGGGTTAAAGAGCATCTTGTGCTTCTGCAGCTTCAGTGCTGGGATAAGTAAGGCCGGGTTCTACAGGAGAAGCTAAAACAAACTGCATCAATGAGTGAATGTCAGTATATATGCAGGTAAGACAAAGAGGGGATCCGTGGGAATGTTTTTTCCTTTTATGACTCCACTTTGTAGACTTTGTTTTTTTTTGGGATTTCTAGCTTAGGAAGTGTCTTGAAAATACTGATATTTGTGAATTCTGTTTTTGGGTTCAGTTCAGTTTTGAGTTTAAATAAAAACAACAAGACAAGTAATTTAAAAAAGCGTCAAATCCATCCACTAGGAATCTTGCATAGTCAAATATGCCATAATTTACAAAGTCTGTGAGAAATACCTCATAGGTATAAATCCAAAAAGAGAAAAGCTGCAACTGAATGTCTCTTTCGTTTGGTTTTCAGTGTCACCTGAGCAGTATGCCTCTCTGTGCGCCTCCCCCTCAGCTGTATGTGTGGATGATTCTGTGCCGCTTCAAATGGTGCATCATGATGAAGGATTTCCCGCACAGCGAGCAGCTGTAGGGCCGCTCGCCGCTGTGTGTGCGCTGGTGGACCCTCAGGCTGCTCTGCTGCGTGAACCTCTTCCCGCACTGTCCGCAGCCGAACGGCTTCTCGCCCGTGTGCGTGCGGTAGTGAATGCTGAGGTGGGAGGAGCACTGGAAGTTCTTGCCGCACACCGTGCACCAGAATGCGCGCTTCCTCTTGTGGCTCTGCTGGTGTAGCTTGAACTGGTGCAGGCGGCTGAACGCCTTCCCGCACTGCGAGCAGACGTAGCCCCGCGCCATGCCTGAGGGGGGTCTGTGGGAGGCGTGGAAGTTGCCCGATGTGAAAGTGTTTGGCGCTGGAGTTACAACATGTCTCTCTCCAGCCGAGGCCTCCCTCTCCGAGTGTTGATCTGGCTGTCTCAGATGTGCAGCATGCGACGGGTTTCTCTGCGGGTAAATCTGATCCTTCTGCGGCTGAGCGCCCTGAGGTCTGGACTGAAAACTGGACGACTGCGGAGCGTCCTTCTGATACTCGCTGTTGAACATCCCATTACACGGCCTCTGAGCAGACAGCTGCTGAACACCGGCCGACTTATTTGAACCCAGGTGAGCATCAGAATGGTCCGGGAATGTTTGAGAATACTCCTCCACCACGCTGGAAAAGTCAGGAAAACCTGCGTCAATGTCCTCGCCTTCGATTATGGACGACCAGAGCTGATTCTCTCGTTCGTCCATGGAGAAATCTGCTGCGAGTTGACTCTGCTTCCCCACGATGTGCTGGCATCCGTCGCGACTGTATCCCGATTGGTTCTCCTCCTTCTCCGTCTTGACGTTAAACTGAAGGTCACCGATGTCTCCTGCAAGCTGCCCAGCGTTATACAACTCACCAAAGTCGGATGTTTTTCGCCTGGAGACCTCTGAAGGGTTTAACCGACGGCCGTTTTCTAGCTGCTGGCTCTCTGGAGCAGCGGCTGGATTAGGGAATGAAACAGCAGAACCTGAAAGTGACAAGACAACACATGTGGTACATTTCAAACAAAGGCTTAGCACTATTTTTTTTTAGATCTACTTGTTGCAAAAACTACTGGGCCGTTTGACTTACCCATAGGTCCAGCAGAGTCAGTGATCCACAGCGTCTCATCTGGACTCTCTTCCTTAATTGTGAATGAAACCGTGGCATCTGTAATCTCAGGAAACTACATAGAGGAAGTTTGGAAAATTTGAATTTGCACTGGTGAGTTTTTTTGGCAACTTGGAGGCAATGCAGTCTAAAGAAAGACACTGACATATCCTCATCCTGTAAAGCTGTGCAAGAGAAAAATGTTAGCAAACAGCAGCTCATAGGGTTGACAGACTTTGTACGATACCAAAAGAAGTTCTAGGCACCAAATATTGGTATATATATTTTATAATATTTTAATTAACAGAAATTGCAGGCAAATTCCTATATTGCAAAAATAGAATACAAATTAAACTTAGACATTGCTATATCTATCTCTTTTGCTCTTGTGTTCAACCAAACAAAGAATCAGTGCCACTGCAGATGAGAGGATGATTTTAGGCTTCTTCAATCTTGACAACCTCCCTTAGTTACCCTTATCCACGCAGGGGTCAAGGGTATTTTGAGGTCTCTTCTCTGGGCAGGGTTGCCAGGTCCAGGTTTTTTTTTGTTTTGCTTTAATGAATCGTTCTACTTCCATACATCCACAGAGCAAATTTTAAGTGCTAATGTATGTTATATAGCTCATTTAGTAACTTAAACAATTTAGGAAGTAGATTAAACAGCAGTGTAGGGGAAACTGCTTTCAGTGCTGGTATACTGGCCATGTGTGTGAGAAGCATGTCCCTATAAATAACAGAGTGTAAACCCGAATTTCCCTCAGGGATTAATAAAGGATATCAAAATAAAATAAATGTAAAAAAAAAAAGAAGGAAATATTGCAATACATTTGACGATGATAGCAATACTATTGTACTTTAAAGGAAATATATACAGGGTGTTGTGGCAGAGGTTTGACTGGTTCTTGCATTGGGCTGGCTTGATTAGCTGTTGGGCTAGTTTAGTGGCTGGATTTGGTGACCGATGGTCTGGTGTTGTTATCACACAGACCTGGCAGCCCTGGCCCTGGTGGTGCTTTGCAGGGGGGCAACTACTGAATGTTCCTGGTGGTTTGTAATCAGGCCTTGATTCATGGATGACTACAAAACATGTTTCCTGTGCAATAATGTTTACAATAAAAAACAACACAGACCTTCATATCTCCTGCAGGGTGCGGACAGCTTCCCCCCACATCACTTCCTCGGTCCATGTAGTTCTCTGGTGCAGAAAAAAGGGAAAATACTTTTTTTTTTTTCTTTGTACAATAAAATACGACATGAAAACAGGAAATGATTCCAATACTCAAGAACAACTTACAAAATTTTCTTAAACAGAATTTACTGCAGCCTTTTACTTTCTGTGCATCTGACCACATGCATGTTACCTCTGCGTTAAAATGTAAACAAACACCCAATTAACAGCAGTCATTAATTATGAGCAAAGACTGAGCATCTTACCAAACCCTCGCTGCAACTGGGCACTTTTGTTCTCCATCATTAACAGTTTCCTCTTCAGCATGTCATTCTCGCTTTGCTTGCGGGATATTTCAAGGTGCAAAAACGCACATTTGTCATCGACTAGTTTGGATATCTCTGACACTGCTGCTTTAACCAAAACCTCCATTATTGAGGACAACTGGGTTTGAAAGGGAATGCAGGTCGCCATATTGATGCATGCAACGTGACGTGTGAGGCAGATGTATGATTAGACGGTCCTTCCGCGTTTTAAATTTGATAAAAAATGCAAAAATAAGCGACGTACAGCAACATTTGACATCCCTGTGTGAAGCTAGCTGCAACCTTTTCTTCCGTGTGGCGGAGGGGTTTACCGTAAATACACGAATAGAGGCGCAGCGGAAATACATCAAGGAGGAAGAGACAAGATGAGTCTGGCATTATGGCCTTTACCTTTTCTTTCTTTTTTACATTCATTTGTTGGTATTTCATACGGAAGAGGATCAGAGTCAAATTTGAGAAAAACATATTATTAGGTCTTAGGAGGAAAAAGTCAAAATGTCATGAATAAAGTTGAAAAGCAATTTCCAGAATTATGTAAAAATATTGAGGGAGAAAAGTCTAAATGGCATGAAGAAAGGTAAAATATAATATTATACAATTCTACAATTCACTTAGCAGACGCTTTTATCTAAAGCAACGTACATCAGAGAGTAAGAACAACACAAGCAAGGATCTAGAAAAAAGGGAACAATGTCAGTAAGAGCAAACGATCAGCTTCGAGTCTGATTGGACACACAGGTGCTGACAGGAAGTGACCAGAGGCAAAGCACAACTTTGTGGGCAGTTCTTGAGAGCTCTAATCAGTATAGAAACCATCTTATAAGTCATCGTTATCAAACAAAAACAGTCGTCACAACCATCATCATCATCAATAATATCGAGACCATCGTCATTAAGTTAGTAGGTATTCATGAAAGAGCTGGGTCTTTAGCTTTTTCTTAAAGGTGCACAGGGACTCTGCAGATCCAATGGAGTTTGGAAGTTCATTCCACCACCGGGGGGCGACAGAGGAGAAGAGTCTAGTCAGAGACTTAGGACCCTGTTGTGAAGGTTGGATCAGACGCCTTTCATTGGCAGAGCGTAGTGGGCGGGAGGAAGTGTAGACCTGGATGAGAGAGTTAAAGTAAGGAGGAGACGTTTTTGTCGCTGTTTTGTAAGCGACAAACTTCGTGAATGAAGTTGAAATGTCCAGAATAAAGTCATAATGTTGAGAAAAAGTCGAAATGTAGAAACAAATAGTCGAAATATCAAGAATTAGGTTGAAATACAATTTCTTATCATTTTGACTTTTTTCTCGGTATTTCAACTCTATTTTTCACATTTCTAAAACATTTTTGGCGTATTGCATAGTGTAAAGAAAATCTTCATGCTCTTATTATTTATTTCTGTTGGCCGGGCCCTAATCCTCTTCCATATTTTCAGGTAAAATTAAATTTGACTTACCTTTTCCTGTCAGGCGGGCATGGGCACAGTCTTTGAAGTGACGTGAGCTTCTGTGTAAAATATGCTCATTAATCTTAAAGGCCATGATTGCGAGAAACAAAATATCCAAAATATCAACACTGATGGCTGTACTGGTCAACTCTAAAAAGTAAAACATAGCCAGTCCGCTAGTGTAACCCTTTTAACCCTGTTTATGTAAAACAAAAATACAAAACAGAAGAATGATTAAAATGGTCATCAATGAACAACCAAGTTAAAAATCAGTTAACTTGAGTCCAAAAACCTCAAACTTGTGTTGATATTATAATGATTGAAATGGGGGTCCTTCAAGGCTCCCCCTTGGGTCCCCTTCTGTTTTGTGAAGATCAAATGTGACATCTTTAATATGAATCTGGAGGCCTTGAAAAAAGGATAAAATAATAGTAACATAAACAGAAAAGAGGAAGACAACATATACTGTACTTACACTAATAAATATGAAAATAACCAATACCAGACTTCACATTTTACACAACGTTTTCTTGAATTTATTTAAAAATAAAAAAGCTAAACAAAGATAATTACATCTTTTTCTTTATGTTGATTCTTTTTTAACATAACTTAACTTGTAAAATGTGTAACTTTATACCCGTGAATCATGCTACGATTGGATATAAGATTGACAATTGTTAATCAGTGAGCTTGTGTTGCAAACTACTGAATTACAGCAAACTGGAACACATTAAATAAAAGGGGAAACATTATTATACATAGCAATAAAGCATTGAACCTCTGAATCCACAGGTTCAAAATTCTGTTCCCATGTGAAAAATGTGGGCAGTAATCACTCTGTACTTAGAGGGTCACACTGTCAGCTGCGTCAGGTGCTCCTTCTGTGCTAAGCTGGAGTGTTAGTTTCGTCAAACTATTTTAATGGCCTCTTAAAAGTCCAGCCACCTCCTACAAAACAACTTCAAATAGCAGCAAATATTCAGAACGCTTCAAAGATATTTTCTTAATCAATTTAATGGCTTTTCTACAACATCCTTGTGCAGTGCTTAAGGCTGGCCGTGTCAAACGTTCTATCTGATAGACAAAATCACAGACCATTAAAACAACCCCCAAAAATCAGTCTAAAGTAAAAGCTTCCACAAAGAGTAAAGTTGACATAATGCACTTTTTTTATGCACAAATCACCAAAATGTGAGAGTTTCTTACTACCATGGTGTGACGCATTTCCAATTGGAAACCAATTACAAGATAGAATGCGGGACATAACGTTGGGATTAATTTGATTGGATTGTTAGCTTCAACAAAGCTTTTTAATTGGTCGAAAAATAAATAAATGACTCTAAGTGCAGGATGAGTCATCAGACGTTTTAAAGGAAGAGAAAATACAGTTATTTTAATGTAAAAATACTCAGATAATGCTTTATTAAAATATATTTGGCAGGTAATGGCAGATTGATAAACATTTACACAGGAGTGCTGGATTAAAACCCGGGACATTTAATTTTTTAATTTCATGACTTTGAACTCCCCTATCTGAGATTATAACATTATCATGTTTCATTGTCATATTTGGTTATTTGGACATCTAGTAGATTACTGAAAACCTTGATTTAAAAGAATCACAGTATTTGCTTTACATTTGCCTTCGGACAATATAAAAAACAACAGACTAATTAGCTACTGTTATAAAAACACGTGCACCTTTAGAGGCATATTAAGTTGAGGTTTACAGTACTTTACTGTATGAGGATTGTTTTCGGTTCAACTTAAAATGAAGACACTTCTCTCTGTCTGTTTCATCAATGTAAAATATCGCTGCAACTCTTTTTAAACAAAGGCCTTAAATTATGACTGAGAAATATTTTACCCTCATGCTGAAGAGAAGATGCTTACAACCATGGTGGAAAATAGAAGAGTTTGTTATGGCTGAAACCACGGCTTTGATTTAAAGCTGGGGGTGTAGGAGGGGGGGTATGTTTTTAATATAATCTGGGAAGCCTGTTCACCCAAACAAGTGTAAGAGCCACAGAGTGTATACATGCTAAGGTGTTGTAAGGATTTCAGATGAGTGACATCATGACTCAAATTTTCATGTGTCACTTTCCATAATGAAAAAATATCCACTGTATTCGACTTCAATTTCATTTCTTTATAAAAACATTTTTTAAATCGTTATAAAATGCTTTCGTAAACCCAGTATCGTGAGTGTATCGTTACATCCATAGTAACTGCTATGGTCAGCAGTTACATAATGTTAATTTGGCTATTTTAAACAGAATATGATAATTTAAATAAAAGATAATAATCAGTCGAGTGTAACAAGTGGTCCTCCTGAGGCCTACACTGTGAAGAGAGTTCAACATACCCGGAGTATTTTTACGTTCACCTGGCTTCACTAACCTTAAATAAAATAAATGTTGCCAAGCAGTCACATGATTAAAGCTGGTTACCGACCAAGGGTTTCCGTGAGCATGTTTGCTTGAACGAGGCGGTGTCAGCATATGACCAATCATAGGATCTGTCATCAGCAGATCATAAAATTCCACGAGCAAACTTTCATTTAAGAAAAGACGTTCACCACAAAATTCAGACTCGGCTGTATTTGCAAAATGCAAGAAAATTTGGCAGAAAAACTAAGGTCAAGTGTTTTCGTTACCATGGTGATCTACCTCGATGAGAAGTAAAACCACCTTCATAGTTTTGAAAATCTGGAGTTAACCCTGAACTCAACTCGCTAACCATAAATCCTGCTTCACAGCAGAGGCCTCAGGTCTTTACATCTTTGGTCCTCCTGGTCTCAGTTCATGTCGCCCGGGTTCTGATGATGTTGATCTTTTTTTCTTTTTTTTTTGCTTTGTGCTGATGTAAGATTTGCTTGTATGTAAACCCCTGTGTAAAGGTGCTTTATAAATAAAGTTATAATTATTATTGTTCAGGGCAACAGCTTTGGCTGTAGCTCAGAATACTCAACAACGTTCAGTCATCTTAAGAAGACGTCTTTTATAAAGAAGGTCAAAGGAGCGGAAGTGTAACATGTTTGCTGTAGATTTTGAAGGTTTTTTTTTTTGGAAGATTTCAAGTAGTTTTATAGACCTCACTTTGATTTGTCCACTGAGACAGAATTCAATCGGACGATCAGTTCAGAACCGAATGCTGAAGTGGAGAATATTTTACAGTGTTTTTTTTTCTTGCTGTATACATGACACGTGATCTTATTGAACGTGCAGCTTAAGGTGCAATTTCAGGACGCTCATCTGGTTAAAATATTTCCCGCATATGTGACAGCTGAAGGATTGCTCGCTGATGGTTTGACACTGATGTCTTTGATAGAAATTGAAACTATCAAAGCTTTGCCCACAAGCCGAGCATATGAAGCAGTTTTGTCTGGTCGCGTCTCCTCCGCAGTTGTCCTCGTCATTGCCCGAGGCGATCATTGAAAATTCAAACACCCCTCCCTCTTGAGTCCCGTCACTCACAGCGGTGTACTCGTTCACGGTCACGGCTTGTATGATGTGCTGGTCTTGTAACTCAGGTGCTAGAGTGTGATCAGAACTTCCCCCCATAATGGAGTACTGATCACTGTGCATCATGTCTTCCTTTTCTTTGTGGTCTAGGAAAGGCAGGTCTTGATCTGGTGAAGTGTATCCCTGCTCACCGGTTGCTCCGGTAACAGGACTGATGTGATACTTGACATCAGGTACAAGTAAACACACGTTTTGATCATCGGCATCACTCCTCCTCTCTGTCCTCTCAGACGTCCACAGCTGAATTTGGTCGTGTGCTCCTGTGCCGTTATCGTCCCCGGCCTGATTTAAAGCCTGAAAATCCTCCCTGCTCCGCTCCAGCTTTACCATCACTGCCTGCTCACCAGCTGCCTCTGTGAACGTGGAGCCGGGTACGTGTTCTTCAGAAGCTGCCGGGTCCTTTAGTAGATGATTATCAGGCATTGTAAACATGAGGGGATGTGGCTCCAGCATGTCGGTGGTCTCCCCTGTTAAAAGAGCAGAATACAGTTAATAGATGAACATTAAGATTCAGAAATTCAGAAAGATATTTGTCATCATCAATGGTTGGGTTTAATATATTTCACAATGAGGGTTGAAGCTTTTTAAATCTTTCATGATAATTCACACTAAACAAGATGTAGATGTGCTTATCTATAGAAGAGAAGTCTACCATGTGACTTTTACTAACCCGTAATAAAATAATCATGGTTTTTTTTTTGTGAAATTATTAAGTTCGCTTTTCCAGAATTTTTTTTTGTCTTTTATTAACTTAATTCAGTGGTTCTCAACTGGTGGGTCGGGACCCAAAAGTGGGTCGTCAGGGCTGTTTTAAGTGGGCCACAAATATGTGCCTGGAACATAAAAGTCAAACAGTTTTTTTAAGCACTTTGTTTTGTTCCGTCTCTTTGTTCTGTCACGTTGTGTACCGTCCGAGGTCCAAACTGCACCATGTTTATATTAAACAAATCTCATTGGTTGAAAAATTTCAGACATTTGGGTCTTGATCTCTCTTTTTTTTCATGTTTTTGTTTTTGTTTATTATTTTAAATGAGTTTTTTTTTATCTTCGTCTTCTGTAAAGCACATTGAGTTTACGTTTGTATGAAATGTACTAAATAAAAATGAATTGAATGGAATTAAGGAGTTGGTGGCGTGTCCTGAGGCTAGAATTAACGATCTAATTGGTCATTTTAGCTAATTATACTGATCATATTTAATGCAACATGATCACATTTTTGTCTTCAAATATTATTAAACATGTACACTCTCCTATTAGTTCACCAAACTCATTGAGTTTTGATGAACTCATTGAGCAAAACTCATGCTCATCTTTTTTATTTACTAAAATGCCCAAATATCCCATGGTGACAGATTCTCCAATATCAACATCTACATTTTATATTTGATTATAACAATACCAGACATCTAGACATGTTAATGGAATCTGGGAATGGCTCTGCTCGTCTCTTACCATTTCTGTGCGTCTTCATGTGGCCCTTCAGGCTGCTCTTCTGGTTGAAGCACCTCCCGCAGACATGACAGCCGTACGGCTTCTCCCCGGTGTGAATCCGTAAATGTCTTTCCAGGTGACCGGCTCGCTCAAAGATCTTCCCGCAGTACGAGCAGAGGAAGCACTTCTTCGGTTTGATCATCTGAAAAGACACGCCTCCTCTCTGCATGTGGTTATTCAGCGTGGATCCCGCCATGCCGTGCAGTCCGGCGTCACCTGACAGCATGAGCGTGTCCGAGGATGCGTACGGTGTTTGAGGAGGCAGGCTGTTTTTATGCTCCCCGTACGGTTTCCCTGGAAAGGAGAATGTGCTACAAGACGCTTCAACAGGCGTGGAGAGTATTTGAGATATCCCAGGGAAGGACGAGGAGCTCTGCGCTGAGCCGCTGAGATACTCTGTCCTACTGATCTCTGAGCCGTTCTGTCCTTGAGGCGTGGACATCCACTGTTGTCCGTCTCTTTGAAATGTCGTCTCACTGAGGTCGTCTACTCCTTCCACCATCTCCTGGTTCCCTTCCTCAAACACTGGTTGAGTTATCGTCTCCTCTGCAGGCTCAGATTTGACTCGTACAGGTGTTGTGTCCTCGTTCTTAGGCGGCGGGGCTTCCTCAGCTTTCTTCTGGCTCTCTGTCTCGGGCGGATGAGTTTCAGGACATGGAGTCACATCGGGAATCTGCTTCTGTTCAATCATTTGGATCTCAACTGGGTGTGGCTGGACACCTGTTGGAATAGAAAGAAGTCATCACAGGCGGTTTAACCACCCACTCAGAAGAACCCACAACCTTTTTTTAGCATTTGAGCGGTAAAGGTAGGTCATGAAAAGTTTGATATAATAATCAAACATGGTTTACCTGGCTGCTCTAAGTGTATACTTTATTAGTCCTGTTTCCATTCAATTGTTAAAGGAATCATTCAGCCACACCAAAAAATTAACCAATTTCGCCTGTAGCCTCGTGGTTAGTGCGTGCGCCCCATGTACGGAGGCTACAGTCTTTCAAGTGGGATGCCCCAACTCCAGGTGAGCTGCATGTGTGAAGGCAAAGAGTGAAGGGAACTTTACCCTACCCCCTTTTGATAAAAACATGAGGCAAGTTTAAAACTCTTTTTTTGCTCAATGACTACAGAGTACTTGTATCTAATCATGCAGTTAATATGAGCTCTTTAATAAAACACTTAAATGACCTGATAAAAATATGCTTCACTTAACACTTTGTCTCCTCAATATTTAGGACAGATTAAAATATCTTTGTTCTGTAAATAATTAACCTCTTACTATCTTGTGATATTTCAACTCCTCCTTCTGTTTGGTGATTTGATTAGCAGAGCTAGGATGTTACTTTAACAGCTCGTTTGTTTGACTCTTACCGTTAAAGGCAGAGTGGATAAAGCTGCTCTTCTTATAAGGCAGTGAGGTGAACACAGCTGTCAGCCCCCCCCCCCATTAACTGTCGACTCGCCTAAACCACATAGATTACCTCTGCTAACTCTGTGATGCAGGGGGAGTGTCAGAGGCTGACTTCCTGTTGTGAATCACATTAAGACTTCAAAAATGTACAAATGTACAAAAAGTTAGGGACGTTAAAGAGGTGATACGGTTTCAAAGGAGCCACCAGAAAGTTCTGTGTGTGTGTGTGTGTGTGTGTCAATGTTTAACTCCTGCTGTGTGAACACACAGACTGGGTCACTAATTTTACGCCGACACAAAATCAATATGAATGCTCAAAGACGTGATGACGGCTGAGCTTTGGCATTTTTTGAAGAAAAAAAAGCAGTCTGAAAAGAGCTAGTGATGACTACTTGTCTATCAGGGACCTCATAGTGGGCCAAACAAAGTCCCTGGTACCTGCAGTGGGAACGCACCTAATACATCTTTAGGTTCAAAGTCCCTGCACACAATTATGAAAGTGGAAACGCAGCTTTATTAGCAAAAGGAAGGTCAGAACTTCTTCTGCTGTGATAATTCAGCAAGTCTCATACTTACATCTCCTGTGGATCTTCATGTGCTCCTTTAGGCTGCACTTCTGATTGAAGCGCCTGCCGCAGATCTCGCAGCGGTACGGTTTCTCCCCAGTGTGGATCATCTTGTGCCTCTCCAGGTGCCCCGAGCGCTCAAAGTATTTACCGCAGTACGGGCAGAGGAAGCCCTTCTTGAACATCAACCTCTTGGTCGTCCTCCTCCGCACTGCGCTGTACGAGCTGCGGTACTGATTGTTTCCAAGCAGCCCCCGGCTCCACAGGCTCTGCTGAAACCCGCCCGAGCCGCTGCAGGGTCCGGCCAGTCGGGAGTCCAGAGAGCACTCGGGAAGATAAGACGTCGGGTTCTGTCCCGCGTTTAAATAATCTGAGTTGTTGCGTCCGGCTTGAGTTTGTGTTTCCGGTCTCCATCGGGCACGCTCCCCTTCATACAAGGCCCGCTGGTCAGACTGTCCGCCGGCCTCTTCGCTCCCTTCTTCCACAGGTTCACGTTTCACCTGCACCTCAGGTAAGGACAGGCGGCTTTGTTCTGTTTCAACGGGCACATTTTCCACAACGTCGCTCTGAGTATCTGGAGAGAGGCGGTGACAAAGAAACGGAGCAGAGAGTTTAAAAAATGATTCCGTCGATTAGTGTAAAATCCTTTAATATATAAAGTTTGAGAATGAAGCAGTTCCATATTTTTAGACAAATCATGTTCTTACTAGGGATGCACCTATTATAAAAACCAGGGCAGATACCAATACTTAAGTTTCAAATAACGATGTAGCCGATTGCATATTCTGATACCGATGTTTGTTTCATGACTTTTTTTGGTGTCAGACTCCCACATTGCTGACATTTTTTCTCGTTTGACCATGAAAACAAAGTCAGAAGACAGCAGGTTAGCAGGGAAAGGGGGGCCTTAAAGAGACAGTACCTGAAATCTACTCGTCAGACAGTGGCTGAACTGAAGGTTTCACAGACATCAGGATGGGATAGATGTGGGTTTTTTTTTTGAAATGACAATTCATACAAGGCAACTACAGATGTTACCCAGAGTTAACAACTCAAAGTGAAAATGAGCATAGTACGGCCGTGTCACATTTCTTGCACTTCCCTCCCCCCCCCCCCCACACAGCAGCTGTTTGGTGTGAAAACAAACTTTTATGTCACGTTTTCTCCAGATCGTTCACTTCTCTGTGAGAGAAACACAAATCAAAGACTAAAGAAGGAAGTTTTCTCTTGACAAGATACATAAACATGGAGACAACTGTCTGAGACACAACAGCTACATTGTGCAGGGACACCAGCGCCTGAAACCACGATTTCACAACAATTTCATAGTAAATTTAAACCATGTATATGTCGTGATCACAAAACGGATATTCCATGCCCTGAAGTTGATATATCAATTTATTTAGCAAAAAGCTCTTATTCCTATATTCCACATCTTTAAGATAAAGATAAACTTTATTGATCCCCGTGGGGGAAATGTGTGCATTGCAGCAGCTCAAGAAAACAGGGGAACGGGAATATAATTATTACAAATAAAAATAGAAGTTAAAAATCAACATATTTACATCAGTTAAATATAAAAATACAATAACGGAAAATTACACAGTATCTTCACTCTCTTTTGGTTTTGTTTTTGGACTCCCAAGGAAAATAGATAGTTAATTATCTGCTTAATCTTCCACTATGTTAATATAATATACTAGTTTCTGCCCTTTTTCTCTCTTCTGATTGGTGCAAAGCCAGAAGCGTAAAATTTGTTTTTATTCTTTTCTAACTGATAAAAGCTCCTCGCAGTTGTAGAGAGGAAGGAGCCCAAGTCTCTACTGCTATCACTATAAGTATTATTAGAGAGACTGCCCATTATGAAGACTGATCAATGAGGGAGTGCTTTCATATTAAACATATTTACTCTGATGTGTTATTTTATGACAAATCAGTGCAGAGAGAGGAGACATCCACGGAGCTGTCAAACATGCTGCATGTCTGTTGTTGACACAGCTCTGTCAGGAAAACCTCCTTTGCATCATTGGTCGTATCCTACATGTGATGATTCAAGATTCAAGATTCAAGATTTGTATTTGTCACATGCTCATACAGATGTGCAGTGAAATGTAAAAGACTGTACAGACAGAATGCAATAAACACTCAAATGACTAATACACATAAATACAGTGAAATAGAAATCTAATGTTTGCAGGACATTGTGTAGTTTCCAGGTTTGGTGGCATCACAGATACACTGAGATGTTAAAGAGGTGTGATCATCAACAAAGATCAGACAGGAGGTAAGAAAACTTTGGTGTCACAGTGAGACCCCTGTCCTCCTCCTCATCCACCCCACACACACCACCACCACCATGCTGAATAACAGTGTGTGTACAGTCATCTTACCATCTCTCCCCCGGTGGTCGGGTCGCAGGGTCACTCTCTCCCGGGCTTCTCGCAGCTCGTTGTGCAGAAGCTCGATGTTACTCTTCAGCTTCTTGATCTCATTTTCACGCTGACACATCTCCAGCCGCAGCACCACCATGCCGTCCTCCACAACTTTGGCGATTTCTGCCACGGCTGCTTTGGACAGGACATCGATTATGGAGGTAATCTGAGCCCGCAGAGAAACGCCGTTCAACATCGTTATGAACCAACAGTAACCGTGCAGCGTTGAACTTTTAACCGAGTAACAGTGTCCTCATATCCGGCGCCAAAGCTGCGATTTAAGCCGCCCGGGTTAACCGAAAAAGGCCATGACGAAGCTGGAAAAACGGACACCGAAACCGCTGCTGTTTCGGTTTAATGTGAACCGCTTTGCGCTAGCAGCAGCTAATTGGTACAAAGAATAAACAGAGGTTTTTCTGTTAACGGAAATGACGTCACAGTCACCGTAAACATCAGTACAGAGACGCGACGCATATTGCCGAGGGACTTCCGAGGTAAGCTAAATAATAATAATAATAATAATAATAATAATAAAAAAATAAAAAAAACATTGAAGTCGCATTGAAGAAATAATACAAAAATAAAAACACAATATAATTCTTCCCACATGTTATCATTTAACTTTTAAAAACAAGAATGTATATCGTTTTTTTTTTACCTTTTTGGGACTATAGGCGCAAAGCATAGACTGTAAAAAATAATGTATTATTATTATTATTATTATCATTTACAGTCTATGGTTCAAAGTCTGATTTAAGTATATAATTCAATTCAATTACAAATAAAACAAACACATTTAATTTCATCAAAGCATAAACTGTAAAAAATTATGTATTATTATTTACAGTCTATGGTTCAAAGTCTGATTTAAGTATATAAGTCAATTCAATTACAAATAAAATAAACACATTTAATTAATTTTAAAGCATACACATTTGAACATTTAAAGAATTTTAAATATATTTTTAAAGCTGAAAATGTTTTTCAACCTTGTTAAGAGAAACCCCTCAACTGTTTTTTTTTTTCGAAGGTCAGGTAAAAAACTGCCAATTTTAATTTTTAAGCCAACATTGAAGATCAGTTGTAAAGGTGGTCACAATATTCCTAGTTTGACTTTAAAGAGCTGTATTAAAAATACACGCAGTAAAAACATTTGATGCACTCCGACAACCACAAAGTTAATATAACCATTTTATCAACTTTTAGGTTACAAACATAAAGAGTATTCAGTTCGCATGTTTATGAACTGCTCAATCAAATCAAAGACCATTGAAGAAAAGCAAAATAAATAGAATCGTAATATAAGCAAACTAACAAATATACCTTTAAGCACATTTCAAAATGTAAAACAGGTAGGTATAGCAATTAATGTAGTACATGTCTGTCTTTATTTACTCATATCTAAACTTATTTAAACTATAAATACATTTATATGATAATAAACAAGGGTTTACAAAGTGTGTATATACGTACAACTTGAAATGGGTTGCAAATATAAAACTCACAATGAATTATTGCATTAAACCCACAACCTCTTTACTTCGATGAACTTGAATCATAATTGTTGTGGTCTGATGCAATATGATAAATCACTCAGAAACCACTCGAGTGTAATGAAGGTGAAAAAGTGACTTGAGATTTCTTAAAGAACGTCATGAAGACAAATCAACATTACAAACTATCACCCAGGGAGAGGACACCAGAAGCTTTATTTAATGCTACAAAAAGATTGTGATAACATCAGAAAAACGACTCATGCGAAAATTAAATTAAATCATTAACGTTTTAACCAAGTACTGATCTGATACCTGCATGTTACATTTTGCTCCCAGCCTAGGATTGTTGCATCAGTTAAAATGTAAAAGTATACTGGCCGGACAAATAAAGGTTTGAGAGAATTCTTTTCAAATGTGTCGTTTAAAGCCTCCACTGTCTGAGCTCTATCTCCCCAACAGGTGAGTCTCTTGATGTGTTTTGAGGTTACTCAGCACAGTGAAGCTTTTACCACACTGCTCACAGATGTGCGGCCTCAGCCCGCTGTGGAAGCGCTCGTGTCTCAGGCAGTTGTCCTGCCTCGAAAACTTCTTGCCGCAGATCTTACAACTGTAGGGCCTCTCTCCCGTGTGCACGCTTTGGTGCGTTCTGAGGCGTCTCTTCTGGGTGAACGATTTCCCGCATTCGAGGCACCTGAAAGCTTTCAAGGGCCGGTGCAGGGCCTTGTGCTCTTCAAGCTGAGACATGCGGGGGAAGCCCCTGCTGCAGACCGAGCAGGTGAACAGTTTCTGGTGTGCCCTCGAAACATTCGTCGCTGCTTTGGCCCTTGGGCTGTTTCTACCTCGGATGTGATCCTCTACGTTGGGTCCTATCCTATTGGTTGTTTGTCTCTGTGCATGAGGAGATGTCAATAACAACCTGACTTGTTGTAAGCACTGCTCCTGTCTGACAGCAGGGTGTAAAACATGCCTGAGATGTTCATTATTTAAATGCTCTGCGGTGGTTCTTCCCCTGCACACTGGTTGTCTCTCCATCTGCACACTGAGGGATGTCTCTGTGATTTGCTCTGCATTGTTTGTATTTCTCTGTGCAGCATACCGCTCAACGTGAGGTGTGGCAAAAACCTGTGTTTGCTCCAGTGATGCAACAAGACTTTTCTCAAACATGCTACAAGCAGGAGGAGGCCAGATCGGGTCTTCTTGCTCTAAGCAAATATCCACTCCTGTAGTGTTTTCCATTGTATCCTCTATTTCCATTTCTTCTTTTATCCGCACACTTCGGGATTCATCCGTGATTTCCTCTGCATCAGTCGTATTTTTATGTGCAGGATATTGCTCAACGTGAGGAGAGAACATCTGTTGCTCCTGCGTTGCAACAGAGCCGTTCTCAAACAAGCTACAAGCAGGAGGAGGCCAGATCAGTTCATCTCGCTCAAAGCAAATATTCACCGCCGTAGTGTTGTCTGTTGATTCCTGGGGGGCCGGTTCATCTGGCGGCTCTTGTTTCACCACTGGCCTCATCTCGCGGCTCTCCTCGGCTCCATGTGTTGCAGGCTTGCAGACCGAATCAGTAGTCTCCGGTACCAGATACACTGCAAATGTTACCTGATCCTCCATTTCACCACCTGAGTATGACAGAAAGAGATTTAACCACAAAATGCAAGAGTGAGTCAACAAAGCAAAGGACCAGTTGCACTTTCAATTCCTGAATAAAAACAGCTTGATAATGAAAGCACATCCAAGATGCAAGATGTGAGGTAAATCTTTTAACATTTAAGTCAAGAGCTTACAACGGACAAGCAAGTAAGAGACCTCAAACCGTTTTTTTTTTGTCCAGCAATTGGTTGATCAACTACTCGAGATACTAAACCGTACACTCTGTACACACTGCACACACTGTACTGGACAGTTGCTCTGACATAACGAGTCATTTTAGGGTTGTAATCTTGGACTTTAGGACACCCCGGTGGCCACTTTTCACCATTCTCTGTCATTTTATGAACCCAAACAAGAAACTACTAATTGTAAATTAATTGGTGTAAAAAAACGATCTTGGACATTTTAATTTATTGGCTTTTTGGTTGGGTTAACTGGAGGCGTATATGTGTCTTCTTGGGCACTGACTGTCTTTGGTTTCAGTGATAATAAATTGCATTTCTACATGTTATGGATTGTTAGTCACATAAAGCAAGGAATTTGTTTTCGTTTTTTTTTTAAAATCATCTTAAAAAATCAAACAGATGTAGCCCTAAAGATTGAAGTTAGTCATCTGACATAATAACACTTAAATACCAATCAATCAAACTTTATTTATATAGCACCTTTCAGACAAATTAAATTGCAGTTCAAAGTGCTTAACAAGAGTGCAGAAAAGTTATTGACAAAAAGTAGTTTATAAAATCATTGAGAGACTAAGGCACACAAATAAGAATTAAAAAAAATATATGTATAAAAGTAAAATAAAATAAAATACGACACATAAAAGCAACAAGATATTAAAATAAATACATAAGAGGAAAATATTAAAAATTGTAGTGGGATAAAAAAAGACAATACAGTAATGTTAAGATTTGAATTGATATACACTAGACTGAATAAATGAGTTTTAAGACTGCGTTTAAAAATCTCGATATTCTGGGCTCCTCTCAGACCCTCAGGAAGGTTGTTCCACAGTCTCAGAGCGTAACAGCTGAAAGGTTTTCTGTCCTGCTCTGTGGAACAACTAAGAGAGAGGAACTGGAGGATGTGAGGGGGCCGTCCAGGTTCATAAATTAAAATCATATCTGATAGTCTGGTGCAAGGCCATGTCATGCTTTATAAACTAATAAAAGAAATTTAAAATCAACACAAAAAAAAATAACGTCATGGTTCATTTCATCCAATTCACAATCCACAATATAGTGATTTTAATTTTGTGCTATGATAATAATATCTTATTTTTTAATTTATGATAATATCTTATTTTTTAATTTATAATAATATCTTATTTTTTAATTTATGATAATGTCTTATTTTTTAATTTATGATAATAATATCGTGCCCTGTATGATAGCCGAATTTAACAGGGAATCATAAAAAGTCGTTCAGCATCAAAAGTTATCGCCTGCATGTAGTGCGGGTTGTTTCTAGTGAAGTTAAAATGTGAAATGAACAGTTTCTGGACGTAGTTTGGTTTTGACCAGCAGTCGGGAGCTCATCCTGCAGAGCCTCACCTTCACCTGGCACCTGCTCGTCTGTCTGCTCCTGCTTGTCCACACAGGCTCGGGTCTGTGCTGCCTCCTGAGCTTTGCAGAGTTCAACCTCCATCTGTGTCAAGCTTCTCTTGAGCTCCCGGATCTCGCTGTCCCCTCTGACACATCTCCAGCCGCAGGACCACAGCGCCGTCCTCCACCAGCTTCGTGATTTCAGCGACCGCGGCTTTAGCCAACACGTCCATGATGGCGGCCACCTGCGCACCGACAGAGGACGGGAAAGACATCCTGGCTTTTGAGATTTAGGATCGACAGAAACGAAGTGTTTATGCTTTATTTATAGCAAACAGTTGGTGCTCCAGCAGTAAAAAAAAAAAAAAAACAGGCGAAACATCTTCCCAGCGAGCCTTGTTTAGATTTACTTCCGGGGAAATAAAACGGCGGATGTGACGTAAGGTCAACCGACGTAACTCTTCTAATAAAGGTGAAATACAAATCTCTCTGTGTGCATATAGTTGTTTATAATCTGTGTATTTTGTCTCTTTCTTTGTGTTTTGTTTGTCTTTGTCTTTCTTGTTCGTGTTTTTTTTTCTTGTATTTTGTGACGTCACCGTGTCTCATTTAAAAAAAAAAACTTTCTTTATATGTTTTAAGATGTAAAAAATGTGACATATTGTATCAAATAGTAATTATTTTATAATTATTATTTTCCAATAATGCACAGCTTTGGCCAGGTTAATTTTTTTAGTTATTTAGTATGAGACGGTTTCATATTGTTAGACCTCAAACAGGAACAGGATTATTTTACAACTTAGTCTCCTCGTGCTCATTTTATAATTTAAATGTATTCCTTTTAAAATATTCAAGATGTAAATATTCATGAAGCACAGGTTTGAAATGAGCCATTCACAACTTCCTAAATTATTCAACTAAAAAAACAAAGGATGTATTTGCTTTTTTAAATTTTGTTATTAATTAATCCAGAAATCTTTCTCCCTGATTTCCGACTCTATCCACTGTCCTGTCTCTCTCATAAAGGCACAAAAATGCCCAAAAATAAATCTTGAAAAAAATATATATATATATATATTTAAATTATTTCAAAAAACATAATATGACCATCATCGTCATCGTCATAAATAATCCAGAACTGGTCTTAAAACATTTTTATTCACACAAATAAAAGAATGTTTTATGTGTTCTTACACTGACCAAATATTACTCCAAAAGTATACATTTCATTCATCTTCCTTTCTCTTCTAAAAAAATATTTCATATCCATCTCACTAGTTGACCATTTATCTAAGATAAACTTATACACAGATACTTTCCATCATAAGTATTGTATAAGAAGACAAGTGCAAACAGAGTGAGGATTGAACGCTAATCTTTCAATCTTCATTGTTTTGCTTTTCAGACCAAGGATAGGAAGTTATAAAACTACTGGGTGTATTGATAAAAAAATAAAAAAATCCATCCTCCATATGTTTCAGCAGCATTCACCTTTTGGTCCCATCTGTTGTTTCTTTAATTTGACTTTACAGTAGAACATACATTTGGGGCCGTGTATTTAGTTGCTGGGCGTCCTTGGGACTTATAGGGGATCAAAGACGGTGAAAACGTATCGTCATCCCTGGATAAAGCTCAACATATGCTGCATGTCATCCCTTTTTGTGTCAGCTCTCTACAGTTTCCTGTCTTACAAATGTAAATATCCTCCCATGAAAAACCTATACGATTCATGACTGAAATCCAAGTTTCTTCACATGACTAAAATAAAACGTAAACCTATCTACTAGCATCGTGTTCACAATACTGTTGATGATATTTACCCTGAAAGAAAACACTCCATCAGTAAAAGGCAAGCGCTGCCCTATATGCTTCATGCTGAAAAATAGTTTGCACATTTAAATCAGTTTCATTCCAAACTTTGAACAAACAAAAAAAAAAGCTGTCCTCACTCTACTTCATTCCCCCAATCCTTCTGCCTCTCCTTCTCCTTCTCATCCTCTTTCTCCTTTTCCCGCTTCATGGTGATGATGGCAACAGCCTCTTCAAAATTCATGCTGAGGGGACTGTTTCTGTTCGAGTCCCTCGTTAAACTTTCATCCAGATCCCTCCTCCTCTCCCTCTCTCTCTCTCCTCCCCTCAGTTCGGGCTGCTCCTTCTTCCCCTCCCCCTCACTTTCATCGTCCCCGTCTTTCTTCTGCCCTCCTGCGCATACGTGATCCCCTTCTGTTTGGACTTTCAGCGTGTTTTCTCTCCCTCTGTCTGCGTCTCTCCTCTCTCTCTGCTGCTGTTGGTGTTTCAGCGTCAGGGCGGTGATTTTGCAGTGCTGCGGCTTCGGAGGCACGACCGGCACCGCTTTCACTTGGTAAAACTTTGGTTGCTTGGAGACGACCAGCTTTCTACCAACCCCACCTTTAACACCGTCACTCCCCTCGTGTTTTTCACCGTCTTTCATTGCCTTTATGCCAGACTTGACCTCTATCAGTTCTTTATCTATACTTTTTATTCTTATTTGTTGCTCATCACCTCTCTTCTTGTCATGGTTCTCCTCTTCTCCTTCTTTTGAAACCCCTTCTTCTTGGTCGTTTTGCGTTGCTTCTTTGCTTTTAGCGCACTTCTTTTGAATTGCTTCATCTAGTTCAGTTGCATTTGGTACGTCTGTCTCTATTTGCTCACAAACTTGCTGCTCTTCTGGGTCTGGGAGCTTCTCCTCAGCTGCCTCTTTCTCTATTCTAACTTCTGTCTCAGCTGTCTCAGCTGTCCCTCTTTCCTCGTCATTTTTCTCCCCTGAAGTATCTTCCCTCTGCTCTCCCTCCTCTTCTTCCCCTACAACACTTTCTACAACACACTCAGTAATTCCCCCATCTTCCTCAACATCATCCAGTTCATCCAAAATTGCACTCTCCTCCTCTTTGCTGTCTTCCTCATAGCCGTCCATGATTGTTTCTTCCTTCATGTTGTCATCACTTTCTTTTATTCCTTCAACTGTTTCTTGACTGAAGTCATCTTTGGAAACCCTGTCTTCATCTTCATCTTCATCATCTTCTCCTTGGGATCTGGGCTCTTCTATTACACACACAGAGAAGTCTTCTAAAGGAAAGTCAGAACTTTCTTCCTGTTTAAAAAATAGCACAACACGCTGGATAGTCAGTTTGAGGGTCCTCAACGTTGACGTCTGCCAAATTGCTAGATTCCTCGCTGCTGGGCGTTGGATACTCTGGGCAGACGAGAGGTGATGCCTCCAAAGTGAGAGATTGTTCTTCTTCACTTTGTGTTTCTTCAACAACACTGGGATCTCCCTCCGTCTCTTCACTGCAAATAAATGACGAAAAAAAAGATTTAGACGTTTATATGTGGGGTGCATACGCTTGGTTTAAGAGTATTTAGTCTGTTTGTACATCAACAGTTCCTTTTGAGCATATTTGAAAAATGTTTTTTGTGCTTCTTGATCTTGAAGTAGCAATTTTTAGATTTTGGGGGATGTCTTTTAATTCATTAATAAAAACATATTCCAAGACATTTTATTTTTTTGCATATTCCTGACTGGCTTTTGATTTAATTTATGCAATGTATGATGCTGTCTCAAATGTAGTCTTTCTTGTGCTTTCTAGAAAAGGGACATTGGAGTTATTTCTTTCAGCCGCACTAACCTTTCTGATACCACCTGTGGGAAATTTTTACATTTTCAGACCAGCTTCACTGCAGGACTATCGTGCCTACGTAACAGGCTAACAGGCGACTAATAAAGGGATAAAACAACTGACTTATTCAGACAGTTCAGGTATGCAGCTCTATTTAGGAGATTTGCTAACATTAGGATACACACAGTCTTGCTTCAAAAAAGTGTATTTCATGCTTTTGACCACTTGAGGGCAGCACAAGAATCTGTTACTTAAATTTGACGTGATTATGACGACCTTGTTAGCTAACAGTTGCCTGTTTGTTTGGCATTTGATAAGCTCCAATTTTTACTTCATTTTTAAAATGTCCTGCTCCAAAGCTCTTAATAGTTCAACTACGTGATAAGAAAGTAGAAAACTGCTGCTAGCTACTTCTGGAAACAAGTTTGTAGACAGCAGTGAGACTGATAGCTAAAGTGCTAATCTGCTAAACGGTAAAATGCTCTGAAGCTACCTGAGGGCTCATTATTACAAGGACATTGTTGAAATTTAAAAAATCAGCTACTAAATACTTTCTCAGTTAAGTGTGAAAATCACTTGTATGATATCCAGAGTAATGTTATGAACTGATTTGCTGACAGACTTGGTAAACATGTTGGCCTACATGAAATGTGAGATGAGTTTCACCTTTCATCCTTCTCCCTGCCTCTCTGGATGACCCTGTCAGCCCCGCCCCCTTGCAGCACTCCTAAGGCCAGGTTGGAGGTGATGTGTAAGGGCACCGTGACCATGGTGGGCCCCGTGATGTGCATGGCTGCTCTACAGCCCACTTTGGTGGAGAGTCCTGGGGATCTGGTCTGCACAGTCTCACTCCCTGTGACTCCCAAACCTTCAGGGTCTAAGGCGGTGTAGGTGCCCTGTGTCCCTCCACTCCCACTCACTAACCCTGTCCCCCTGCAGTACGTCACTGCATATTCACTGCAACCTATCCCGGTGGTGGATACTGACACATCAGAGCCAGGCTGGTGGGAGGAGGTGACAAGGGGAGATATGGTGGAAGGAGAGTGCTGTGCAGGACGTCTGGATACTGGAAAAAGTAGAAATATGTTTAACAAGTTTTTCAATAGTGTAATTTCAAGTTTGACTGTAAATCAATTCATAGAAAACTGTCTGAATGCTTTTCACTAGTTTCTTTTATTGTTTTCACCACCTCTCTTAAGTGTTATCCAGATATTTAGGTCTCTATGTGTGGTCTCTATCTATCAGTCTGATTGACAGTTTGGATATGAGTGACAGGATGGAGAAGCACCTTCTTTTGGAAACGGGGCTGTACTGAGGGAGTCCATGCTTCTTGCAGGTCTCAGAATTGGCTGGTCTTTCTCTGAAACAAAAAAAACAATTAAAAAAATAAAAATGTTTAAATAGGTAGGTTTAAATCTCCTGTTTGACTTTTACTTCACATGTTTTATCACTTTCTTTAACTTGAGGGTAAAGTTCAGCTGCACTCGAAGTGAATCAAATAATTTGTTTAAATCTATAATTGTAGCGTTACAGTGGATCAGTTATTAACAGGACTTTTAACCTTTATGAGGTTTTTGTACCTTTGGTTGAGTGTTTGTGTCTCCGTCGTGGGTCCTGAAATCGTCCTCCAATGTTGAAAATTGACATCCATTTTCTGCCTTTTAGGGATCCTTTCCTCCTGAACAAGACACAGACATTAAATATGAAAAACAACTAAGATAAACCTGACTTTACCTCATACCATGTCCTCACTAAACCTCACTAAAGACTGTATTATTTCACACAGAAAATATTGTACTCTTAAATCAGGCCTAGCGTGGAATAAGGTTTTCAAAATCATAATTATTGACACAAACCAGATGAGACAATCAGACACTGAACTCACTTGTCTGTTCCTTCAATGATGGCGTGGTTAGCCAACACGTCCATGATGGCGGCCACCTGCGCACCGACAGAGGACGGGAAAGATATCCTGGCTTTTGAGATTTAGGATCGACAGAAACGAAGTGTTTATGCTTTATTTATAGCAAACAGTTGGTGCTCCAGCAGTAAAAAAAAAAACAACAGGCGAAACATCTTCCCAGCGAGCCTTGTTTAGATTTACTTCCGGGGAAATAAAACGGCGGATGTGACGTAAGGTCAACCGACGTAACTCTTCTAATAAAGGTGAAATACAAATCTCTCTGTGTGCATATAGTTGTTTATAATCTGTGTATTTTGTCTCTTTCTTTGTGTTTTGTGTCTTTGTCTTTCTTGTTCATGTTTTTTTTTCTTCTGTCTTTTGTGACGTCACCGTGTCTCATTAAAAAAAAACTTTATATGTTTTAAGATGTTAAAAAATGTGACATATTGTATCAAATAGTAATTATTTTATAATTATTATTTTCCAATAATGCACAGCTTTGGCCAGGTTAATTTTTTTAGTTATTTAGTATGAGACGGTTTCATATTGTTAGACCTCAAACAGGAACAGGATTATTTTACAACTTAGTCTCCTCGTGCTCATTTTATAATTTAAATGTATTCCTTTTAAAATATTCAAGATGTAAATATTCATGAAGCACAGGTTTGAAATGAGCCATTCACAACTTCCTAAATTATTCAACTAAAAAAACATTGTTATTAATTAATCCAGAAATCTTTCTCCCTGATTTCCGACTCTATCCACTGTCCTGTCTCTCTCATAAAGGCACAAAAATGCCCAAAAATAAATCTTGAAAAAAAAAAATATATATATATATATATTTAAATTATTTCAAAAAACATAATATGACCATCATCGTCATCGTCATAAATAATCCAGAACTGGTCTTAAAACATTTTTATTCACACAAATAAAAGAATGTTTTATGTGTTCTTACACTGACCAAATATTACTCCAAAAGTATACATTTCATTCATCTTCCTTTCTCTTCTAAAAAAATATTTCATATCCATCTCACTAGTTGACCATTTATCTAAGATAAACTTATACACAGATACTTTCCATCATAAGTATTGTATAAGAAGACAAGTGCAAACAGAGTGAGGATTGAACGCTAATCTTTCAATCTTCATTGTTTTGCTTTTCAGACCAAGGATAGGAAGTTATAAAACTACTGGGTGTATTGATAAAAAAATAAAAAAATCCATCCTCCATATGTTTCAGCAGCATTCACCTTTTGGTCCCATCTGTTGTTTCTTTAATTTGACTTTACAGTAGAACATACATTTGGGGCCGTGTATTTAGTTGCTGGGCGTCCTTGGGACTTATAGGGGATCAAAGACGGTGAAAACGTATCGTCATCCCTGGATAAAGCTCAACATATGCTGCATGTCATCCCTCATTTTGTGTCAGCTCTCTACAGTTTCCTGTCTTACAAATGTAAATATCCTCCCATGAAAAACCTATACGATTCATGACTGAAATCCAAGTTTCTTCACATGACTAAAATAAAACGTAAACCTATCTACTAGCATCGTGTTCACAATACTGTTGATGATATTTACCCTGAAAGAAAACACTCCATCAGTAAAAGGCAAGCGCTGCCCTTTATGCTTCATGCTGAAAAATAGTTTGCACATTTAAATCAGTTTCATTCCAAACTTTGAACAAACAAAAAAAAAAGCTGTCCTCACTCTACTTCATTCCCCCAATCCTTCTGCCTCTCCTTCTCCTTCTCATCCTCTTTCTCCTTTTCCCGCTTCATGGTGATGATGGCAACAGCCTCTTCAAAATTCATGCTGAGGGGACTGTTTCTGTTCGAGTCCCTCGTTAAACTTTCATCCAGATCCCTCCTCCTCTCCCTCTCTCTCTCTCCTCCCCTCAGTTCGGGCTGCTCCTTCTTCCCCTCCCCCTCACTTTCATCGTCCCCGTCTTTCTTCTGCCCTCCTGCGCATACGTGATCCCCTTCTGTTTGGACTTTCAGCGCGTTTTCTCTCCCTCTGTCTGCGTCTCTCCTCTCTCTCTGCTGCTGTTGGTGTTTCAGCGTCAGGGCGGTGATTTTGCAGTGCTGCGGCTTCGGAGGCACGACCGGCACCGCTTTCACTTGGTAAAACTTCGGTTGCTTGGAGACGACCAGCTTTCTACCAACCCCACCTTTAACACCGTCACTCCCCTCGTGTTTTTCACCGTCTTTCATTGCCTTTATGCCAGACTTGACCTCTATCAGTTCTTTATCTATACTTTTTATTCTTATTTGTTGCTCATCACCTCTCTTCTTGTCATGGTTCTCCTCTTCTCCTTCTTTTGAAACCCCTTCTTCTTGGTCGTTTTGCGTTGCTTCTTTGCTTTTAGCGCACTTCTTTTGAATTGCTTCATCTAGTTCAGTTGCATTTGGTACGTCTGTCTCTATTTGCTCACAAACTTGCTGCTCTTCTGGGTCTGGGAGCTTCTCCTCAGCTGCCTCTTTCTCTATTCTAACTTCTGTCTCAGCTGTCTCAGCTGTCCCTCTTTCCTCGTCATTTTTCTCCCCTGAAGTATCTTCCCTCTGCTCTCCCTCCTCTTCTTCCCCTACAACACTTTCTACAACACACTCAGTAATTCCCCCATCTTCCTCAACATCATCCAGTTCATCCAAAATTGCACTCTCCTCCTCTTTGCTGTCTTCCTCATAGCCGTCCATGATTGTTTCTTCCTTCATGTTGTCATCACTTTCTTTTATTCCTTCAACTGTTTCTTGACTGAAGTCATCTTTGGAAACCCTGTCTTCATCTTCATCTTCATCATCTTCTCCTTGGGATCTGGGCTCTTCTATTACACAAACAGAGAAGTCTTCTAAAGGAAAGTCAGAACTTTCTTCCTGTTTGAAAATAGCACAACACGCTGGATAGTCAGTTTGAGGGTCCTCAACGTTGACGTCTGCCAAATTGCTAGATTCCTCGCTGCTGGGCGTTGGATACTCTGGGCAGACGAGAGGTGATGCCTCCAAAGTGAGAGATTGTTCTTCTTCACTTTGTGTTTCTTCAACAACACTGGGATCTCCCTCCGTCTCTTCACTGCAAATAAATGACGAAAAAAAAGATTTAGACGTTTATATGTGGGGTGCATACGCTTGGTTTAAGAGTATTTAGTCTGTTTGTACATCAACAGTTCCTTTTGAGCATATTTGAAAAATGTTTTTTGTGCTTCTTGATCTTGAAGTAACAATTTTTAGATTTTGGGGGATGTCTTTTAATTCATTAATAAAAACATATTCCAAGACATTTTATTTTTTTGCATATTCCTGACTGGCTTTTGATTTAATTTATGCAATGTATGATGCTGTCTCAAATGTAGTCTTTCTTGTGCTTTCTAGAAAAGGGACATTGGAGTTATTTCTTTCAGCCGCACTAACCTTTCTGATACCACCTGTGGGAAATTTTTACATTTTCAGACCAGCTTCACTGCAGGACTATCGTGCCTACGTAACAGGCTAACAGGCGACTAATAAAGGGATAAAACAACTGACTTATTCAGACAGTTCAGGTATGCAGCTCTATTTAGGAGATTTGCTAACATTAGGAAAGATATACTATAGTAGCTTGCCACCATATGACGCCAATGCTAGGTAAAGTTTTTTTTTTTAAATACACACAGTCTTGCTTCAAAAAAGTGTATTTCATGCTTTTGACCACTTGAGGGCAGCACAAGAATCTGTTACTTAAATTTGACGTGATTATGACGACCTTGTTAGCTAACAGTTGCCTGTTTGTTTGGCATTTGATAAGCTCTAATTTTTACTTCATTTTTAAAATGTCCTGCTCCAAAGCTCTTAATAGTTCAACTACGTGATAAGAAAGTAGAAAACTGCTGCTAGCTACTTCTGGAAACAAGTTTGTAGACAGCAGTGAGACTGATAGCTAAAGTGCTAATCTGCTAAACGGTAAAATGCTCTGAAGCTACCTGTGGGCTCATTATTACAAGGACATTGTTGAAATTTAAAAAATCAGCTACTAAATACTTTCTCAGTTAAGTGTGAAAATCACTTGTATGATATCCAGAGTAATGTTATGAACTGATTTGCTGACAGACTTGGTAAACATGTTGGCCTACATGAAATGTGAGATGAGTTTCACCTTTGCTTTTTGTTTTCCAGCACGTCTCTTCTCTGGTGAAGTTCCTCTTCCTTCTCTGTTGAGTCCGTTACTTCCAGTCCAGCATTCTCTTCTTTGTCTTTCACGTCTTCATTCTCCTGCTCTTCTTCAGATGATTCGTTATGCGGAGGACTTTCAAGGTTCGGTGACGGACTATCTCGTTCTTCAGAAATTTGCAACTGATGCACGGCGACTCCATCCAGAGCGCATCTGTCTGCACTGTCTGCACTGTCTGCTTCAAACTCGGGCAGATTGTTTAAAAAGTATTCACATGGGAGGCTTTTAACAAACATGCTTTCGTCCTCGTCACTGCTGTCATCATCAACCTCCTCTTCAGAGCTGGACTCCACCGCTCCTATCACGACAGAGGCCCTGTACGGCAAGCTGAGGGATTTCACATGTCTGCTGTGTGAATCCATGCTGAGTGGCCTGTGTGTGTTTGACTCAGTAGGACTCCGGGTGTGTGTTTCAGGGCTTGGCTGCTGGTGTGTGTGCTCCTCTGCGAGATGATTGGAGGAATGATATTGCTCCATGACTTCATACTCATCCTCAGAGTCTCCGGGAGGTTCAACGGAGAACTCGTTCACCTGACAAGTTAAAGACAAGTGAATATTTACTACCTTCAATAACTCTGCAAATATCTCGTGCACAGCTAACACACACTTACCTGAGAGGTGAAACCATAGTCCATGTGGTCCAGAACGCTGAAGTCCATCTGGTCCAGGAATTCAAAGTTATCTTGAACATAGCCTGACAGGCCCAGGTCGTCTGTTTCCACCTCGGTCGAGTTGAGGATGTCAGACGCTTCAAACACATCGGCGGGCTGAGTCACCTCCATCACATCTCTCATATCTGAAAATATAAAACGCAGGCAGAGATTGAAGAAGGGCTTAGACTACTTATCTATACCTGTGGTGTACAATAAGTGATTTAAAAGCCCTTAATGATATATTTTAAATATTGAATCATCAGGCCCATTCAACTAACATCTCACTCTAGGATTAATTGGAGATGAAGTGATTACTGATATCAATATAATAACTGGTAATAAAAGTCATAACTCATTAAAAATATTAGAATAAAATAAGAGAAATTACCCATATATTCATCGTTGTCATCAACATCCCTGTCATCATTTTCCACGGTGTTGGAGGTCAGGCTTTTGACTCGTTGCTCCCTGGACACCATTCGATTTCTTCTCACCATCTCTGGCTCCTTTCTGCTATCTCCTCTGACCTCCTCCTCCTCCTCTTTCTCTTTCTCCTCCCCTTTTGTATCTTTACCTTCTTCACCTTCGTCAACACCTGCTTCTTTATTTACATTATCATCTACGACTTGTTCCCCGTCCGTCACTGTCCTCCTGTGTTTAATCTCCTTTCTCTCAGCCGCCCTGCCTTCCTCCACTTTCCTCTTTTTGACTATGCT